TGCATCCCTATCTTCTCACAATACATACTTCAATTTCCAGTTCCTTATAGATTTTTTTTTAGATTACTTTTGGTGTTACCAATTGAAAAGTTGAATTACGCTTTTAGATAATGTAGCTAGTTGGTAGCTTTTCGAGATTACTTCTTTCATCTGACGAGCATTTAACCTTCAGAATAATACTTATGAACTTAGTCGCTGAATGGTAAACACAACCTCTTCCTCTGAAATTCATTGTCCTTTAATGCCCTTTCTATAGGTACATGCATTCTGTTTTGATTTTTTTGTTCATATTTATATCTCTAGTGTTTGTAGATTAGAGTACTTTAAATTGTTCTGAAAAACTTGTATTGTCCTTCAGTGACTTGTTCCTACTTGAAACTCAAATCTGTATATATTCCATCAGTATAATTAATTAGTCTGCTTGTTTATTCAAGGAATAACGTGATTCATGAGGAAGGCCACCAAGTGAGCTCTTTGCATTCATAATATTGAATCAGCCATGGTGAGCTTAAGAAGAAGCAAACGCATGAGACTATGCACCGGTAAAAGTGGCCGAAATGTGCTATATCACATATGAATAAGTTTGGGCCTATTCGTACTAGTTTTAATCTGTATAAATCACTTCTCAATAGGTCTTAATCACTGACAGGAGTAATCCTGATGCTTAATACACTAGGTTCTTGTTTATGCTTTAAGCTGTGTAACTTAGTGTTTAGCATGCTTGTCCATATGAGTTTTCTGCTGTTTAACTCACCTGTCAGTCAGTTGAGATAAATTTTCAATGTTTGTGAATAAGAATCTGATTGAATAGGTTCTTTTTTATTCTTAAGTATATTCACCAAATTGTAGGTCTTTGCAGAAAGAAGTTCTGTTCTAGCTCCGCTGCCAAGGTTTTGTGACAAGGGAACTGCTCCTCAAAATTCTACCCAAACAAAACCAGATAGTGTGCATCCAATGCCTTCAAATGATGTGAATCTGCCGGAGGGGGTAAGAATGGATTACCAATCAGTCCATGTTATTGTTTCACATGTATCAGATGGACCATTCTTTTCTTTAAAGGTTTTGTCTCCTTGTTAAAGACACTT